AACACGTATGATGTATACTAAAATATAAATATAACACGTACGATGTATACTAAAATATAAATATAACACGTATGATGTATACTAAAATATAAATACAACACGTATGATGTATACTAAAATATAAATATAACACGTACGATGTATACTAAAATATAAGTCCCAGAATTCCTCACTCAACTTCCATATCGCTTTCTCGCTAACGCCTAACATCATACAAAGTATCAATTTCGATATTTCAAAGATAATTAGCTAATGTTTCCATTTGAATGAGTTATTAAGGAAAGCCTGGAAAGTAAATAATAAAAAACAAATAGATAAAAAAAACCTGAAACGATGGAATTTTCAGATGAATGAAACAGACATGTATGCATTGATTTCAAGTTTGAATTTCACTCTTGCACTTGGACGTGGTTTTTGCATAGCGAGCCAAATGGATCGATTAAGGTCGTTGGGAAGCGTGCTTTTTGGGGTACCATGGAGGCCATGGGGGATGGAATGTGATGTCGATGGCGATAATGTGGTGCGTATTTTGATATTTTTCACTTCCTCTCAGTACTCATAAATACTTTTATCGCAATAATACATTGATTGCTTCGTGTAGAAAAAATTTGAGAATCCACGGGATATTCTCGATATGAAATTTTACATTGCTAGATAGTTGTGATTCGTTTTGTAAGCTTAGGCGAGTAAAAAATGATCCATGAAGTAATCAGAAGATTATGAATTTTAAAGTAGTAATATTTTTGATTTTTTACTCTACTACATTCTAAGTTTTCCATGAGAAATTTGGTATTTCTAAATAAAAATCTTTTCCATTCTTTTTCTTTAAAAGATCTCTTTTTTTCTCTATGTTCATCAAGCTAAAAATTGCTGAATTATGCTAGGTTACTTCTGGCGTACATTACAAGTAAAACTTTCTATATAGTTACCCTATAGAATGCATTATCAGTTTAGTAATACAGGTATACATTATGATAATGTTTAGATTCACAGAATAACGCGAGAAGAATACGATGAACCAATTCAGGATGCCTATGTGGAGTCATTGGCACGTATGTCATATGCAGAATTGGATGACAAATACAATCCAGGTATTCAGGTTGGAATTTGAACCGTTAGTCTTCGCAACTGAAAACGTTGCTGTAAGCAATTAGGTACTTGCGATATGTTTTTCAAAGAATTTAGGAAGAGATAGTTTTTAGCATAGAATTTGTCTAGTATGATTAAAATTTTTTCTTAGGTCCGACATTACCAGATGGAAGTGTGAACTTTGAATGTCACTGTGTTGGCCACTTAGTCGCCAGTCCATGTGGTCATGAATTTCGTGAGGCAATAAAGTGCCAGAAAAGTGCTGGAGAAGCAGAGTTGGAGGAAGGAGCTTGTGCGACCGAGTTTATGAATTTTATGAGATGTGTTATTCGAACGGAATGCTTCAAAAGTAGGTTGTCATTTTGTCTTGAATCTATATTGGTTGTCTGTGAGGTTTCTGTTGTTGAACACATATACAGGTTATTACTATTATCAGATTGGTTGTTTGTGAGGTTTCATTTATGTCTGTTATAATTTTGAAATAACTGTTTAACTATTTAACTATAATAAATATCATTAAGAGGGGGAGTTTTACTCACAGGGAAATTTAACTTGCAGGTATACGTGATCCTAATGATGATGAAGGGGGAGAAGAACAGAAAAGCGCTGAATTGGAGAAATCGGTGCATTCTGATCAAACATTGTAATGGTGCCTAATTTTATATTTTTTGATGTTCTCATTTCTTTGAGGAATATGTTTCTGCTTTGAAAATGTTTAAGTTATCAGTTATCAGCACGTTGTGCAGTTTATAATCCATTTCATTGTTTGTCTTTTATTTGAATTTTTTTAATATTCCGAGCATTTTACGGCAACAATTTCAGTGCTTTATTTATTCTTTGATATGTTTTGTTATCCCTTTGATAAAATTTTACAGATTGAACAATCACGAATTATTTAAAAGGCTTGCTTAAGGTGATAAAAATTAGTACAAATGGGGATCGTTATTTATCATAACAGGTGGTTCTTAAGTAGTCGTGCAATTGGATCTGCAAAAGGAATTTAGATTGTTGACATGTAAATTCTTTAATTTGGCTAAAGACTTTGTGGCTAATCTTCAAAAGAATGGATTATTTTTTGAGTAGACTTTGTAACTTTATATACCGTACTTCTATTTTAATTTTCTTTTTTTTTGTACGAAATATAAAACCACAGCAAGGGGAGCCTGGATTTTTTTGGTCTTTTTTTTTGCATTTTAAGCGGTTTTACTTGTTCCCATGCGATCTCTAGCAGTATTTGTTAATGAATGAGTTCTAATTCTGTTCACTTTTCTGATTTGTTACGGATTTTTCGCTTGTCGTGTAGCAAAAGAAACGCAAAAATACGAGCAAATAAAAATACACATTTTATTGCAAAAAAAAAAAAAAAGAAAAACGTGATTGGAAGAAGTCCTTTTGACTATCTCTTGGTAAACGTTATTTAACGCTATGCGAAAGGTCGATTACGTAACGTGCATTTGCGTTTGAACGGAGAAGCTTGCTTGAATAAACATTGATGATAGATGAATGATGGATGAGGAAGAGTGAAATTGCATTTATTGAAAACGACAGTTCTGAGGGTGATAGAATGTGCAATTACTTTTCACCCCTTATATTGCAGTGGGTTTAATTGGGGTCAGAAACTCTCAACAATCTCAATATTCCACTCATATCATCTAAAATATATTGATGCAAATCGTTTCGAATTATTTTGAATTGAATTGACCTGAAACGAATTGAAGTAGAATGGATTGAGTTGAGTTGGTTAAATTTAAATTGAGAAAACTAAAATTAAACTTTTAAAACGAGACAAAATAATAGCAAAATTAGTTGAAATTGTCATGCATGAAGTAGAGCTTGCAGAAAAATCAAAAAGTTTTGGAAGTTCGGTTTGAAATAAACTGATTAAAATGCTATCGGTGAATTCAAAAAGAAGAATCATTGTACACTTTAATCATAGAATTTATATTACTACCACTACTTATAGAATTTATACTATTATCACCATTAGCAATAACAATTTTATGCTCTATAACATATAGTCAATAATTTTTAACAGCTTCAATTAATTAATCAAATTATTTATCATTTATTGAACTATTTATTTATTCATTTAATCGTTACCTTATTGTTAATGCGCAAAATTTTGCCCTGTATTTCAAACGAAATAAATTTCTTAAATAATAAATTTTACTTTTTCTTTTTTTGACAACAGGTAGTTGCAATAAAATAACCTTACGTGCACAAAATTTTATTGAAATAAAGCAGATGTTAGTTTTTATCTTAATAGAAAGGCGGAAATGAAACGAACTCAAAGGTGTGACCTTTCACTCTAAGAAGATTTATCCGATGTTCGGTTTTTTTCCCTTGAAATTGTAATGTCACTGCAGTGCTTCATATTTCCACGGATAGTGATATTCCGAGTGCACGCGGATTAGCATTGGATTTGTTGCTATTAATTGAGATGAGAAATGCGAAATGAATCATTAGGAAATGATCATTGTTATACATTTTATCATTTCATTCCTTCATCGCTATTAATTCATTGTTATCATCTCTGCTACACTGATAACATTGATAACAATTTTTTTATTTTCTCTTTTTGTTGCTATTTCCTTTCCATTTATTTTATCAAAAAATTCAACATAACTAATATGAAATTAATCTTGTAAGTGTTTTTTTTTCTGCTAAATTAACAAAATTATTGATTTCAGTTATATGGTATTACATACTTTTTTTGATCTTTATCATTTGTTATTTACTTTATTATCTATCTTTCTATTTGCTATTAAATTATGCAAGAATAGGATACTTTGATTAAATCGAACTATATAAAATTCCTTATCACTAACTATCATAATTATCTAACAATATGAAATGAGTCTAATGTAGTTTAATAATAGATGAAAGATAATAATATAATTGTTGATAATGCTTTGATATCTATATGTTGTGTGCTTTTTTTTTTAAAAAAACACTTTAACAATTAAAGATCAAACAGCTAATCTAAAATTATACACTATTAGTGTCATAATTGTGAAATTTAAATTTACAATCATTCATTTTGTTGTTTTGAAAATTGGATAAGAGGTAAAAGCAGCGAAGAATATTTCGTCAAATTTTGTTATTGATCGATTGAGGACATAACGGTGCTAAGCACTTCATCTTAACGGAAGAAATCCAAATCCGCAATGTACACTAAGGCGGTTGCGCTTTTGCACGCAATCATTCTTAACTGATAGCGCACTGAATGCTAACATTTTGTTGCACTAATATATCACACACCAATATATTACCTATTTTTCCCGCTCACACCTTTACTCAATACCGCTAAGATAAGAAATTCAATGAAGCTATGGTAAAATTTTCATAAAATTTCTTAATAAGCTATCCGGGGAAAAAAAAGAAAGCTGATGTTAATATACATTATGAAATTATTTTAAATTTGTTATTTTATTTTACTTCGAGTAGTTTGAAATTGCTAACATTTTAAAAAAAACAAATTAAAAAGATCAAAAATATATTATGGTAATAATAACAAATTCAAATTGTTCGACTGTTTTGACGAACGACTCTTTGATTTTGTTTTTTTTTTTTTGGAATTCAAAAGATAAATGTGGAAAAAAGTCAATTGTTTTGAAATTTCTTTTTTTGAAAATTCAAAAAATAAGTGTAACTTGTATATACATATATAAGAATTTTTCATTGAAAAAATTGATATATATTGATATAATTGATTGATATTCATATAAAAATTGATATACATTAAGAAAATTGAATATATCAGATGTATAACGAACATTTGACCCTCCATTTTACATAAGAATTTTTTCACTGAAATTGATAAATCGAACATTTCAATTTTTTTATTTTGAATTTTACTAAATATGTTAGTATTACAAAGCATAGTGACAAGCATTAATATCGTATTTAATAAAATTTTAATTATAGTTGATAATCTATAATTGAAACGATGAATAGAATGAAATAATTGATCGCAATCAATGATAGAGAAATGAAAGAAAGATATTTAAAAATGGAAAAAAATGGGAAAGATATGCACAAAGTATTAGTTAGGAATAAATTCCGGTTCAGCAGTAATTAATTGAAAGATGCAGGTATCCCTTACAAGAAGTTTAGTCAATGAGATACCTCCTATTGTGCTTGATTTGCAACTGCGGTACTGATCCTGGAGAGCGACACTTGTCGGTAACCTCTTTTAATTCCGAATTGTCAAAGCCCTCTAAATTATACCGTAATAGATTGCTGATAATATGAAAGCTAAAATTTAAGCTAAAAATAAGTTCCATTTAGATTTGCTATCACACAATTACTATACAATTAAAAATTACTTTAAAATGATACATTAAAATTAGAAATGAAAAGAATTATGCAAATAGAGGCAAAGCATATAAATACGCCAAAATTCAATAACTTCAAACAAATTTATCATTAAATTTTTTTTTAATTTCGTAATTTTTAAATTTGCCATTTTCATCGTTTCTATATCACTCAATTTTTGTCATTTTCAATTTAAAAAAAAAAAAATTCACAGAATAATTCTGTTTGGAAATTTTTTCTGCTTTGTTATTGAAAATTTTTATAAATAAAATAATAAATCGATGAAAACAAAAATAAGGAAAAAACATTTCATCAATTTAATTTAATTATTGCATGCAAATTCAAAAATTGCACAAATAATTCGCTTCAGAGAATATAGCAAATCAGGAAGTAATCATTCATATTACTCACTTATTCATTTACTAAATTAAATAACATATTAATTATATGTCTTTGATTTATTGTTTACATCTATAATGTTTAATAATTTCTAAAATTCTTGAAAATTTTTTCCTCAGGATATAAGCTCACGATAAATAAGACAGAAGTGGGAAAATAAAGATGTGAAAAGGTGTTGTGAAGTAGAAGGTAAGAAGTGTCACCTGCCACTCTTCGAATACTCTTTAATTTCAGGTTAATATTTCAACAGGTCTTCAGTTGGTACCATATTTTCGTATTTGTCTTTAACCTTATGTCGGCAACTTTTTTTTTTCTTTGCATACTTCTTTCTTGTTGAAGTGTTTTCCAATTGTACCATGCCATCATTAGCTAGCTCTCGACAAATTTCAAGTACCTGCTGAAAGAATCAAACAAGTATTCTTTTTAACCGCTCCTTTCATTTTCCCTTCAATATGCAAAAAATAAAAAATAAAAAGAAAGAAAAAAAATCTGTTACGGCAACGACTATGAAAAAATATCATTCAATTTTCTTTTTCTCTCATTTAAGCTTATCCTTTAAAAGTGCTATTGCTAAGAGAATCGGTCATCTTTTGATATTTAAAAATGATATTGACCCCTTATAAGCGATAAATTTGAATAAGCTAAAAATTCCATAAAAGAATAAAGAAAAATTTTATTACAGAAACAATAGGATGAGAAAATAGATGAAAATTTTTTGCTTTCTTTTTAAATAAATTTTTGATAAGTTAACTAAATTTGAAAAGAAAAATAGCATTCTGATATCATTTAATTTATAGATATTAAACAAAATTTATTTTTTATTTTATTTGAACAAAGAAATCAATATTGACAAATATTTTTGATCAATTGCTTCTAGCACAAAACAAAAAGATATTTACAGAAGTGATAAATGTTATAACAGGAATTCGAGAACAATGTATTATTGGTTGATCACTTAGCAGTGGACTGATTCATTGGAAGGAAATTATGTCAACCAGAACGGAAGCTGTTATTCATAAATGAACCAATTATTGTGATGCAATAACTATTACAGTAATTATTATGTTTTATTGTATGTTTTAAAAGAATTATTAGCAAAATATTTTTAATTGAAAACTGCATGCGTTTAATTAAATTATCTCATTAAAAAATTCGGCCATTTTTCTTTGCAATGTTGTTACAGCAAAAATTACATCATTTTCATTTTCATTCTGCTAATTTGTGCAGCTGAAATAGATCAAAGTATTTCACATTAACGCTAACCCGTTTAATGAATTAATAATTGCTATTGAAATGATCGAATAAAATAAACCGATTTAACAAATTGCACAAAGTCTCGAGGTAAAATTGTTTACTTGTACTAATGAGAGTGGCAACTAAAAAAGAAAACAAAGTTATATATCACTGCCAATGCAGAAATGATATGATCAACAATTTTTGAATTCAATAAAATCTCAAAAGAATCGGTTCTATAAACCGAAAAATGATTTTAAGCTGAAAGGTAAAACACACAAACCCAAATACGGACACTCACACACACACACACACACACACACACACACAC